ATATGCCGCAGGAAGAATGGAACGTTTTGACAAAAAGCAGGACAAAACATTTTTAGTTTGTTTTTCACACGCCGATTTTTCTCTTTTTTGTCATTTTATTGTTTGTTGTATTAAACATTTGAATCAATACAATACTGTACACAATTCTTCCACTGATTCTGGTTGCGGGACATGTCTTTAAGAGTGCTAAGCCATTGGCACTCATCATCTTTGGGTCCCCATCCTGGAAGACGTACGGATCCAACAGCGGCTAGACACGACGCCAGCGATTTCATGTGCTGCCGCCAAGTGGAAGGCTGACCACAACGCAGTCGCTTCCAGCCAGGCTCTTGACGAGCGAATAGAGCACGACGCAATAGACGCTCAGGTGCCATGCGTAGGACATGACCGAGCCATCTTAACTGGCGCAACAAAAACAGTTTGCTGAAAGGAATAGTCGCATTCCTCAAGATGCGACGTCGAACGTCATTACTATTAACTCGGTGTTTCTACCAAAAACGAGCGATTCTCCTTACGCAACCGTTATCGAAAGCAGAAAGACGACGCTTGTCTTCTACGCGAAACAGCCAAGACTCGCACCCATACAACAATACTGAGCGAACTGATGCGCTGTAAACGCGGTCCTTTAGTGAGAATGAGACGTCGCGACGACGCCACGAGTGCCTCAGATTGATAAATGCTGATCGAGCTTTAGCGATACGAAGAGAAACTTCTTTGTTGATAGTGCTGTCAGAAGCAACACAAGTCCCAAGGTAGACGCAACTATTTACCTGTTCAATTTGTACACCTTTGAGAGTGAGTACGGGAGCAGGTAAAAGCCAATCCTTGAGCAGTACTTTACACTTCGATGGGGCGAAGCTCATGCCATACTTAGATGCTTCAACTGCCAAACGATCCAGGATGAGTTGCATACTCTGAGGATCATCACCAAGTAAGACGATATCATCAGCATAATCTAAGTCGGTCGCGCGCTCACCCGGTAGAAGCTCTAAGCCAAAATGTTGGAAACATTATAGAACATTCGACAGAATGTCTTCGATTGCAAAGTTGAAGCGGAATGGGGACATAAGGCAGCCCTGTCGCACACCGCTATTGACAGCGAATTGCTAGGGTAGCTTGCCATAGACCCTCACTCTGCCAGATGTATGAAGGTAAAGTGCTCGTATGATGGAAGTATATTTCGCTGACACCTTGTTCTTTAGCAAGCAACGCCATAAAGCAGGTCGATCAACGGAGTCAAAAGCGGCACGTATGTCTAGAAACGCAATGATAGTGGGCCTGTGATAAATGTGGCGATGTTCGAGGAGCTGGCGGAGCGTGAAGATTTGATCCACGCATCCGCAGAAAGGACGGGAACCAGCTTGTCCTTCACGGTAATATCATCCACGTGATACACAACAATTCCGATTCCAAACCGTCATCAGTGCATATTCTACCGGCTCGATTAAACAGCGTCTTGACTAAGCACCGCCTGTATTGTACATGGGCGAAGCTGTTGAAGTGTTCATACAATCCTGTCCATGTAGCTTTCCTGTGAACAGAACGTTTTATGGAGCCGTCTTCTCGTATGGTCAACAACACATCCAAAAACGGAAGGCAATTGTTATCCTCCATTTCACGCAGACGCTACGGATCAACCGATACCCAGAGGCGTTTATTGGATTCCACAGTCAACTGAAGGAAAACAGGCCGAGGGTACTTACTGTGCCCAAACTGTCTGTCTACCTTCAGTTACCTTTCAAAGGAGATATCGTGGCCGCCCAAATTGAAAGGCGTTTACATCGATTTGCCGGACATTCAATGCCATCAAATTCTGCCCCATTTGGGAGACAAGGAAGTTGCCTATGCCTCCAGTGAAGCCTACTCAACCGATCTCCGCCCCAACCCATTGCATTTCCCAATTCGTTTGTAACTGCGGTAGTAGTTACATTGGCAGAACAGATCGATCCTTGGGTAAGCGCATTGGAGAGTATATCCCAAAACGGATTGCTAAAATATCGACACAACCAGCAGCCGAATGAGAAAAGGTATCTAAGCTGCCGACATCATCGAGCGCCAGACATCTACTCGAATCAGGCCATCTGGTTGACCCTAGGTCAACATTTACAGTTATCTATGGAATTGACAACCCCAAATTATTGAGGTTTGCCGAGGCGGTGGCACTTAACCGGCATCGCCCTATCCTTTGTGTACAAAAACAATTAGCAGTCTCCCTGAAGCTTCCTTGGGGCTCATGATCCTAAGATCAAGCTCGTTGATCTGTCATTCTTGCGTCTACGTAATTTTCCCTTGTGATCAGTTTCAAATCTTCGGTTTTTCTGTCACGTGATTCCTCTTTATGTTGTTAGTTTGCGAGTGAGCAGATAACACGAAATGGTTCCATCTCACAATACTAGTCTTCTCATTGTCTTATTTAGACTAAATGTGTTGTTTATGTATTGCCAATATGATTCAAATGTGGCAATAACAGGCTGAATAGGCATGCGTTCAAGTTTAGTCAGGATGATTTAAGTGAGAATTGACCCTAGGCAAGAGCTCATTGCGATGCCGTCAATCTGCCTGTACTAGATTCCAACAAATAAAAACAATCTGTCAAACTGCATCACAATATTAGTTCCTTCAGTGTGGTTACAGGAATGCCAACATCCACGTTATTTTCGTGATATATTCACAAAGGAAATTAATGGTTTCAATCGAGAGAACGTTGGTGAATAGGGATTCTACCTCGAAAGAAAGCATTACTTTGCCGCGGACGTTCACTTTTCTACATGTCTAACGAATTCGAGTCTTGAAGTGAGTAAGTAGACCACACTTTACGCACTTGCACCTGTAGGGTACATTGGACATACGAACATGCGTCTGCCAAAACGAATCGCTGAGCGCTGCCGGAGGTCGCTAAGAGGTGGGTGGTCGGAGGATTTAACAGTGCAATCATGGGGCACTTGTTCCAAACTGGACACGAAATCCGACCCGCCGACACATTCAACACCTTCTACACTGTGCCCAACAGGTACAAATAAATGCACAGCAAACCCCTCCTGTGGACGGTTGAATCTATTGCCATCAGAGTGATGCAGCCGGAGTTATGCAGGTAAAAGGCCGTTGTCAAGCGCTTTTCTTGCTAGGGTCAAGCGCCAACTCCTCGGCGTTGTGCAATAGCAGCAGCCAAGCGAGATCTTCTTCGCGCCACTGGCTGACATAACGCATGTGTTCAGTTGATCGGCAGGAATATCGATCGAGTGTGGCAGCATCGTTCGAATTCTCTCCAGTCACCTATTTCCTTGTACAGACAAGTAGATGGGGTAGCGATGGGATCACCTCTCGGACCACTATTGGCTGATATTTATATGGGAATGTTAGAGGATGGCTCATTAAAATCGGTTATCTCGAGCCTACGTTTCTACTGACGTTATGTTGACGACATATTCTGCATAATTAAACAGACGAACAACTTGCAAAATGTCGTCGAGTGTTTTAACAAGGCACATCCCAAAGCCACATTCACAGTTGAAGAAGAAATTGATAACCAAATGCACTTCTTAGATGCAAAATTAAAGCGACGAGAAGATGGATCAATTCAGATAGGAGTCTATAGAAAGCCGTATTGGACAGACCAATACACACTTCCGAAGTTTTGTGCCAATAAGCCGAAAAAAGCACTGGTACATACATTAGCCAGTCGTGCGCGGAAAATCTGTAGTGAGGACACAATTGAAGAAGAAATGAAGCAAATCAGGCAAACACTTCGCGAAAACGGTTATCCAGAACCATTCATTGACGTTCATCTAAAGTCGAGTAGCCCAAGACCAACAGTACAAACAGTGGAAAAGAAACAGCTATTTTTCCAACTCCCCTTTAATGGTGACATACCGGCGGAAATATGCACACGACGACTGATACAGACTTGCCGAAAGACCTTTAATGCAGCTCAACTGAGTGTCGTTTTTACAAGCCGTTCGCTCTTTGTTCCTAGGTTCAAAGACAAGATGCCTGATCAACGCCAATCAATGGTAGTCTACCGGTTCACCTGCTCCTGTGGGGATAGGTACATTGGGCGCACGACCAGACACTTGGAAAAGCGAATCAAGGAACATTTACCAACGTCGCTCGTCACCCAACGAGAAAAACTCAGTTGAGTGCCATAACCAATCATCTGTTCTGCACCAATCACCTAATTGATAAGCGCAAGTCTTTTGGTATCCTCTATCGAGTTCCATCACAGCTACATCATCGGTCAGGAGCCCGGCTACTTGCTACCGCTGAAGCAGTATGCATCAGGTTGACAAAACCAGGCCTGTGCATTCAGAAGCAAGATGTACAAGCATTACAACTTTCCTGGCCAGCCAGTAATAAAGATGGATCGGACCTCACTCATTGGTATCACATGCCTTCAGTCACTTGACCACATGACACGTTACGTTAAGCATTGAAAAATTTTTGTTCAATCAATACTTATTCTCTGTTTTCCCGTATGAACTCCTCTTCTCAACGTATATTTCTGTATCAAGCATGATGATGAATAAATCGAAAAAATTGTTCGCTTGAAGTGTACCGCTGATGTGTCTTCTTACAATATATAATAAAAATGGGCATACTGCACGATATTTCCTGTCTGATTTTCACTGGCTTACTGCGTTACGTTTTATTTGCATTTTTATAAATATACGCCTGGTGCGAAAATTTGGAAGAGACCTCTTCGTAACCTTGGGTATTTATTTCGACTGTATCTTTCACGGACTTTATTTACTAGCCGAAACTTAGTTTCCTGTCATATTGCAAGGCCGGCAGGATCTGTTCTTAAGACACGTTGGTTAATGCGCTGCCGTATTCTCCCCCGCTGCTGCCGTATTCTCCCCCACTGGAGCCAGCCTTCAACTATTGGAAGGCGCACTTTAATGGCCTCATTCGAGCATCGAGCCAGACAGACTGGTCTTTAGCACAGGATTCGTCTATTGAAACCTGTTGGACTATCAGTAAAGAGGGAGTGAAATCGTTGTGCGCCCGATTTGTACCCATCAAGTATCGGAAAGCTGAGCCAGTCAAACCACATTGGTTCGATAAAGAGTACAGCAAACTGGCCCGACGACGACGCAGACCATGGAGAAATTCGTTTTATCCGGCTCTGATGAGTACTACAATACGTACAACATACAGCGAAATCGCTGAAACAACGCGAAAACAAGAAAACGCAGTAGCTTGGAAGAGCAACTTGCAACGGCCGCAAAAACTGCTCCCAAGTGAATCTTCGCATACATGAAGCGGCGCCTGAGGCCTACAGCCAATGTCCCAGTGTTAGAAGGCTCAGATGGACAGCCCCTAATCTCGAGTACAGATCGTGCGTCCGCATTGGCGGCGCACTTCGCCTCCGTATTTGCAAGTGACCAGGTGTCTGTAACGAGTTCGACGAGTACCGCTCCAGCCGAACTTAACAGCGTAGACTGCTGTATTGAAGATGTACGCAAGCTTCTAACAAATCTTGACGGGACGAAGCCTGCTGGGCAAGATGGAATCCACCCACTGATCCTCAAGTCTCTATCGGCCATCATCGCGCTTTCGGTAACTTAGCTGTTCAAAAGGGCACTATCCCCTGGACTGTTACCAGATGATTGGAAATTCTCTGTCGTAAAGCGCATACCGAAAGGTGGTAACCCAAGCAAAGTGGATAACTACCGGCCTAGCTACCTGACCGCTATTTTTGCAAAGACGCTCGAGAAGATCGTGAAGAAGAGCCTTCTGCAGCTTCTCGAGTCGAAAAACCTGTTGACCACTGCACAGCATGGTTTCATGAAAGGTCGCTCGTGCATCATCAACCTAATGTTGACGAGGCACGAATAGTTACAAGCGATGAACCAAGGTCATTCGGTCGATATCATTTACATTGACTTCAGTAAGGCGTTTGACAAGGTTAACCATGCAGTGCTCCTTGACAGGCTGAGGACGTACGGTGTTACTGGTTCGCTGCACAAATGGATCAGAAATTTCCTTGTTGATCGAAAGTGGAGAGTCCAGGCAGACAACCATCTAACTAACTGGTATCCATCGAACAGCGGCGTGCCCCAAGGCACTGTACTGGGGCCGATTTTGCTTATCATCCATGTATACGATGTGCCTCAGCTACTCCAATCACCTTGTGCGTTGTTCGCAGATGACTTGAAGGTGTGGAAAGTAATCCGCACACTTAATGATTGCGATTTACTTCAGCAGAATCTCGACCGCCTCTCGACATGGTCTGCAGAGGTTAACCTTCCGATCAACCCTGCCAAGTCGCAATTCATGAGTTTGGGTAAGTATGATCACTGCCGAACGTACACAGTGGCTGGTCAACCGTTGCATCCCGCTCCTTTCGAGCGCGACCTCGGTGTACTCTCACGCTGCGACCTAAAGTCCATTGACAACACGAATAGGCTGTACCAAAACAGCCTTCGGATGCTTTGAGCGCTCAGGCGAAGCTTTAGCACTTGGTCCGAAGAGATTGCTACTCGCCTCTTCGTGTCGATAATACTACCACTGTTGAAATACGGCTCTCCCGCGTATTGTCCCATCAAGCTGGGAGAGGTAGAAAAGCATGTGCGGGTGCAACATGTAGCCACCAGGCTTATTCCCAATTTACAAGGTATGCCATACGAAGACCGATGTAAGAAATTAGGACTGTACACCCTAGCTTATCGTCGACTGAGGGTTGACCTCATCATGACGTACCGGATATTACATTTGGGTGATTGCCTTATGTTGAGATCACTGGTTCACCTGCGCACACCAAGCAGCACACTAGAACACAGGTATAAGCTTGTCATACCGGATGTGAAGCGGGTCGCTCACCAAATCTGTTTTGAACGCAGTGTGGTGAATGTATGGAACGACCTGCCGCCGCAGGTAGTAGGGGCGAAGTCAGTGTCCGAATTTAAGAAGCTCCTAGACAAACACTTTACAGAGGCAAAATATAGAGAGCGGAACATTAAATAAGGTGCAAATGTCCAAAAGCGACGAATGATGCAGCTACACAGAGAAAGCTCTACTAGCTGCTTCGAAACAGTGTTCAGTATTCAGTATTCACTAGTGCCTGGCATCGCACCGATCCGCTCTGTTCCGCTGCATACCGGCGCACTGTTGATATCACCTCGAGTAGTGATGAAAGGTTTGAAGTGAAACTGGCGAGCTCAGCGAATAATACGACCACCAAATAAGTCAACTTCCCCAGTAGCTAAGCTTAGGTATACTTCCTCATCGGATCCGCTCATTCGTATTCACAACAAAGACAAGTTGCCGGAGCTGGCCGCTTCTACGGCCATTTATCTGTTCGATTGCGCCTGTGATGCCACTTACATCTGTCGAACTTCACGGCACCTGTCGAATCATGTTAATGAGAACCTTCTGCGCTGGTTGTGTCAAAGTAGTATCCGAGATATGACTAGCTCTGTTATGGCGCCGTTTGTTGATAGTGGGCATGATGTTGACCCAATCCATGCCTTTCGAATACTATATGGGTCCCTCCACCCCAGTCGAAATGCCTGCGCCACAGCATCTTGGCTACTGTAGAGATGATCAGCGCTTGGTTGTACCAACGGCTTTTGTGTGCACCAAAGAGACTGACCGATGCGCCTAAGCAACCTTGGCCAGAAGCCGATGATTCTGAGGTCAGCTGCAATCGTTCGACTGTACCTTTGTTCAAATTTGTGGTTATCACTTGCGTTTGTTGCTGGTTAATGCCCCTGGTCGACACGTGACCTAATCTCCTTGAAACTGGTCGAACCCACTGCTTCGCCGATTGCTAATATACGAATATGATTGTACTGGTCTGACTATGTGTCACCGAAAAATTGTTTACTTTCTGTCGCCTTTTGTTCGTAATTCAGTGGAATTTTCAGTTACTGAAATCCGACGTACATAGTTTAAACCGACTATTCAGCTATTTCTCGCTGTACTCATAATTATACTTAACCTTTATGACTTGTCTGACTTGTAGATCGGTGTAATGGCCTACAGTGAACAAAATCCAGAACAGCCGCATAATCGAACATCTGGCAAAGTAAGAGCTTTTGACACGCTTCTTTTTCCTCGGTTGTCACTTGTAACTCATGGTAAGTTTGCGTGTTAAGTTACCATCCAAATTTTACATTGTCCCCACAGAGTCTATGAATGTGTCCAGAGTAACAACAATGAACTTGCAATAAACCGTAATACCTGTAGCGCGCATTGTCTGTTCAGGATTCGATCTGTTCTCCGAGCTGAACCACTTCGTTGCAGGCATTTGTGGACGCTTGACCGACCAGTGTGTGACGTCTGAAAATGACGATTTCGATCCACATACCGTGACCACTGCTAGTCATCGTCTCGTACAGGCTCACGTTGTGAATGACTCACCTAAATTCGCTTTGCTTGCTTGATGGTAAACTGGATCTAATCTAATGCGCAAGTTTATTGAATTTTGCGTAGAGAACCACGTTTCGATTAAGTCCCTTCCTTTTCTTGTATCTACCTGCGCTGGTACCTCCGTATTCTCCCAGTCAAACATGCGTGCTTCCTCATCATCGTGTGTCGAGACCAACGTTAGCTCACATATCAGCCGCCATTCTAAAAGGATCCCTATCTAGACCGAAGGGAAAAACGAACGCACACAAAAGCCGGAATGTCCTTTACAGGATACAGCGCAAAAAATTGTTATTAAACATTATGTACGAAACTGGGGGAATATTATCTACATGGTTACAAGCCTGTCAAACCAGTATACAACTTCAATGATTTCGACACACACTGAAAAGGAAGGGCACATGTTTGACTAGGAAAATATGGTGCTAGCGCAGGGCGATCCAAGAAAAGGAAGGGAATTCCTTGAGCCTTGTTTCTCTACGAAAAATTCAAGAAACCTCCACATCGGCTAAGATGCAGTTTACCATCAACTGCGAAAAGTGAATTTAGGCGAGTCATTCACAATGTGGGACTGTACGGGACGGTGAGTAGCATTGGTCACGGGATGTAAATCGAAATGGTCATCGATCAAGAGTCGAGAAACCTCTCAGTTTGCTTACTACGCACGGATGAAGTCACAACGGTTGGTGATGAAACGTCTGCTACGAAATTCTTCAGCTCGGAGAACAGACCACACGCTAAGCCAACAATGCACTTCCCGATTGTAAGAAAGCCGTGCATTTGGATTGTACCCATGGAATCGATTTGCTGGCGACAAAATACAATTTGTCATGACTCTCTCCCAGCCTTCTTACCTAGGTCAGAGTCGAAGGGAAGAAACAAACCTAATACCCATTTTTATACGCCCTTTTAGCTTGCGCATTTTCTTGACCTAGTCTCGGGAAAGACCATTATGCATCATTAATTTTGTTCGATGTAACAACAATCGTTTCGTTTCCTATTTCTACTTGAATTGTTTCAAGTGATGTCACGGTTCCATATTAGTGACAAAACTCCACCCCCCCTAGCCAGATAGAAGCTTAAATCCTTCATATTTAAACATCCATAATGGGAAAAGATGGCCAACAAACCTGTGAAAGCAATCAGAGGCCTGTGCTCATGAAAGTTCTTAGAGGGACAGCGGAGATTCTTTTACCCGGATGTTCGACAGTCTCCATCTTCTAGCATATTGATCGTGTGGTGTGGAAATGTACCTACAGCTGTGTACATACCATAACAACATATATGTGAGTCAATCCGTCTTGATGAGCTGCTCTCAGTACAACCTCTGGTTGAAGGACATACGAGCACAAGGTGAACACATTTATGGATGATAGTCTGGGTTCACTGCCTCACTCAAGCTTCCTTGTGGACCGTGCAAGTTGTCGAACAAGTTGCGAAGACACTGCGGTCTGTGTCTTTATGCGTTTTCTCTTCCTGTTTGATAGCGTTCAAAGCACTGATTTTTCCATCAATGATGTTTAATACGTTACTGCTTTGCATGTGATCACATCGCATAGAATGTACTACCTTACAATACACATCTTCCCATTGAAATGTTTAGAATATTCTCCTCGTTAAGAATTGCCCACGCTACAAAAAAACAATAGGATTTGTGCTAAATCTTGCTAACGCAGCCTAGTTTAGCGCATCGCTAAGGCTTAATTATATACATACATATTTCGAACATCCCAACGACAGAGGCAATAAAACGGGACTTTATTCCGACCCAACGAAGTGCAACTTTTCGTCCCAGGTCTGGTAGATACCTATGATTGTGCTCACCATGGCAAATGCCAACCTGGATCAGGGTGTTTTTATCCATAGACAACATGTACTATGCTGATGTAGATGATAATTTAAAGTTAAAAGTTAAGGTGCTTGATCATCTCCAATCAGAAATAAGCTACCGGCTTACCCATACTTGCACCACTTAATACGGCAAAAGCTTGAGTGTCTAAGAAACAGGATCAAAGAGTAGTTGCAAAACTAATGGAACAACTAGATAACTATAACTGGAGTTAGTGCGAGTAGCTACCATTTAAACAACACTGGACATCATACAAACAAACGAGTTACTTTCCATATCCTTCACTCCTTCGATCTAGGTATGGGAAGCCCATTTGGACAGGAGGATATCTTAACTTCAACATTTTCTGT